GCGAAGGCCGACAAGCGTAGGGCGAGGACCCGTCCATCGCCGCTTGCGGCTTTAATATTATATTATAATCCTCAGTCTCCCTATTGTCAGTGATGAGAGTGTGTGGTTGTGTGTGTGTATATATGTATATATGGAGGGATGGATTTTCTTGTTTCTAACGTTTTTAATGGTTGTAAAGCGCTTTGTGTTGCTTTCTTTGTATGAAATACAAATAAAGTTTGATTGATTATTATCATATTAATGATCAAACTATGTGTATAATCTAATGACTAATGCAATGTTTTAGTTAAATTAATGCAAATATATATAATTACATTCATAATATAATAATTTATTGTGCTATGTTATTGTAATAGTTATTATTCATGTACTGCTAATAATAATAGAATTATTATGAATATTATTATACATGACAAAGCATAATATAGATTAAAAATTGTATATAAGAGCTCATCCATTGACATATTTTCTGTCTGAGTCAATATCAGTAAAGACAACAACTCCCATCATCCCACACTGTCATCAAGCTACATCTCTGGTTCATGTCTTCATTTAGATCCCCAGACTGTGCCTTTAACTGAAGCTCTGAGTTGATAACTAAAAACTAAACACGACTTTAAGAAGAGAACAAACAGGAGAGGAAGAAGCCTTCGTGTCACCAGCCGTCGGTTCTTCCAATGAAACGAACTGTTTCTGGGTCACATTAAAGACTGATTTCTCAACCTTCCCTTCATGTTAAAATCTGGCACCCAGAATGAAAACAGAATCCGTGAGGTTTGTTATCAACCCTTCAGATTTCTGAAATTAAATCTGCTTCTTGCTTCCTAAACGTGTGAATCAGTGATGTTCAAGACTTCTTTCCTGAAGCCTGAATCAATCTGTTTATTCCACTGTTTTTTCTCCCTCAGCATGTCGTACAGAAGCAGCTCAGTTCTGAGCTCCACTGGCTCACATGTGGACTGGATGCTTGTTAGAAACCCTTTCTGACCCGAGTGCAGCGAGGTCTCACATCCCAGCGTGTGTCCTGTTAAGAGGCACTTAAAAAGTTGTCCCGCGATCCGATTTTACCGCAGATTTGTGGCAGAGATCATCAAAACCGAGCTGGTTTTACGCGCCATAAAGAAACCAAATGGCTCTTTGATGTTCGTGATGTTTTACACAAAGTCTCCGAAGGTCAGGAATGAAACCCAGCAGAGGTCATGTTATTACAGGCGGATTATACGTATTTGTTCCCTCGACGGCCGGGACTCTTGGGCCCTACATGGCCCGTTCTCATGACACAGCTATTTCAATACGAGACGCGGTTATTTTCGCTTCGTGTCGGCGTTTAATGTGGTGCATGAGACGGGATTTGCATAAACAAATGTTTGCAGTGAGGCGTGCTGGAGTGGAAATCTCCCAGTGAGAGAAAAACGTCAAAAACAACCTCAGGCCGAAAAAACGTTTGGAAGGAAGAGTGTTGGGATGTTCGGTTTGACCTCGTCTCCCTCCTCCAGGGTTTAAAACGAACAGCTGACCTCAATAAAACGCTGTTCTGGATTAAACTGCTCTAGAATCAGCTTTGTGATGCTGATGTTCCTGTTGGATGCTAACTGCTGCTAACAGCCTCATCTGTCCCTGATGGACTATTCTAGAGTCTTTTAAGGAGAACATCCATCATCTCTACACCTTAATCCTCACTATGGGGGGCTGGAGCCTATCCCAGCTGACTCAGGGTGAAGGCAGGTTCACCTGGACAGGTAACCAGTCTATCACAGGGCTACACTTAGAGACAGACAACCAAGCACACTCACATTCACACCTACGGACAATTTACAATCACCAATTAACCTCAGCATGTTTTGGGAGGAAGCTGGAGAACCTGGAGAGAACCCACGCTGCACGGGGAGAACATGGAGACTCCACAAAGAAAGATCCCGGGTGTCCTCACCGGGACGCGAACCGGCGACGGTGCTAACCACTGAGCCACTCCTTAAGGAGAACATCAGCTGACAAAAAGCAGAAGAGGCAGTAATGTAGGTTTTTTTTTAAAAGCTTACAAGATAAACAAAACGGGGTAAAGATCCATGTGATGGCTCTGAACACAAGATAAAAACTGGAGGGATTCAAACCCACATCTTCAATCAACTCCTCTCGGGTTTAAGCATCTTAGTTTTTAAAAAACAGTCCTTCAGACGCTGCATGTCTGGTTGAACTCTCTTCATCGTGAACATCACCGGAGCTTTCTGCTGTGAATGAGGACACGCACCAGGAGATGACAAGACTGACTGCGACGGAGCTCGACCTGTAAGATAGGTGTTTATTTTTGAACCATATTCTGTACATGCTCGCCAAAAGAAGTTAGCAACCGAGAAAAATAGAAAGTAAAAACACAAACCAGAGAGCAGGATTGGGTTAGTTCATTTCCATCCAAAAAACATGTTTATTGTCCTCCAAACTGAAAAGGGGTTACCCTGTGATTTGGCTCGTCTCTGCCGGGCCAAAAAACATACGTTTGCATTTCTTCAGGTAGCAGTGGAGGCATACAAAGATCGTTGTTTTTGTTTTTTTTGTTTTGTTTTGTGTTTTTTTGTTGTTGACTGAGAGAAATTAATGGAAAGAGCAATACAGGATTCTCTCCTTCAAGTCACATGATGAGTAAATCTTTGCATTCATGAGTAATGGAGAGAAGATTAATTTCAGATCACGGGAAGCTTGAGAAAGAAGCGTCTGGTCTTCTGGAAAAGAGTGAAAGTGAGACAGAGAGAGAAAGAGAAAGAGAAAGAGAGGAGGGGAAAGAAAAAACAAAAAGAAAACAACCGTAAGAAGACCAGCGTCGTGTTCCTTCCATGTTAGAAAAGGCCTGAAAACGGTCGAGAGATTGTTCCATCTCTGTTGTATCGCCTTCTACGTAGAGCATCTGTAGTGTACACAAACGGACACCGGATATGCAATTCAAAACCAAAGTGCCCACAGTCGATATAAAGCAAGGTCACATGACCCAAAACAGGTGATGTCACACAAAGGGGGAGGAGGAGGGAGGAGGAGGGGGGACATGAAGGTAACCAAACACAGTCTGTTTATGTGTGTTTATGTGTGTGTGTGTGTGTGTGTGTGTGTGTGAGCGGCGCAGGAATGCCAGCGACGCGGCACCCGGCGCCATGACTTTACAGTTACTCAGGTGTCCGAACAAAAGAGAGCGACCTCCCCGTCTGGTGACTGTGCAGTTAAAAATGGGCACATGGTGATTTAAGCTCATGCTTAAGTTGTGGTAAACCATCCAAGCACTTCTTTAATTTATAACTATAAATACACAGCAGCGTTTTTTTGTCTTGTTTTTTTTTTTTTTTTTTTAAACCGGAGAGGCGTCGGTGGTCCTCTCCCTCGGTGAGTGTGTGACGAGTTTTTTTTGTCTCTTAGAACGGCTAGCTACGCTTTGCTCATCTGCTAGAGGAAACACGGGTTATGTGGAACTGATTATCAACTTTCATATAGATTCTTCTATAATATATTTATATAGTTATTCTTCCTTTCTCTCTCTCACGCACCCACCACGCTTTGCTCTGCTTTCACATTCTCTCGTCTCACTACTTTTATTCAATGTACACAACGTAAAACATGGGGTGGAGTGGGGGAGCGACAGAGCTGAAATGACAATCACTGAGAGAAAAAACAAAAAAAAAAAAAAAAAAAAAAAAAAGCCAAAAAGAACTGCAGTCTTTTTTGTCATCCATTGGCAGTTGGACCGACTCGGCAGTCAGCCAGTTACAATGGTGGTTTCTTTTTTTTTTTTTTTTTAGGGGAGGGAGCGGCCATGTCATCAAAGGGGCGGCGCCGGAGGCTCTTTCTTCGTCGGCGCCGCTTTAGTCGTCGTTTTCGTCGTCTTGGCGGCCGGGGTCGTCTCCTTGAGGTTGAGGTTTTCCAGCGCCACGTCCAAGGTCATGACTTCGACGCAGCCCATCGCCTCGAAGTCGGCGAAGTTCCGCAACGAGCCGTGACAGTCATCCTCGTCCTCGGAGGAGGAGGCCGAGGCGTCCTCGTCGGGCAGCAGCGTGGACAGCAGCAGCTCCGTCACGAACAGGCTCCGGTCGGCCCACTGGGCCTCGCACGCCTGCCGCTCGGCCTCGGACAGCCGCGGTTCGCTCAGCCTGAGGGGCAGACGGAGGGAGGTGGTGACAGGAGGAAGACGGGTGGAGACAGTACAGACAGCAACCTACAGATCCATTAATAGCCTTTAAAATTAAAAAAACACTGAAAAATCCCTGATCTGTATTCAATAGTCTTGTGTGTTGAGGCCTCAGGTTTCCATGTTACACTGCAAGTTGTACATTAGACAACGACTGACTCCAAATGTTATTAGACGTCACAAAACACTGCTAGAGCTGGAAGCTGCCCTGTGGAGCTCCTGATCATTAGTAGCACTGCAGTGATGTTTGTACAAGTGGGTCCACACACAAGCGCATGTCGGGTGGCGATAATTTGCCAAGAAATGTAGAAATGTCAAAGCAGACTTCTAGTGAGAAAAATCTACATGTTCAAACTGCTTTACATGTGTTTTATCATAAAGGAAAGGACGTGTGTTCAAACTTTCATTCCTATCAGTCTCCACACAGAAACTTAAAAAAATGAGAAGCACATTTCTGCGTGGAAGATCTAAAGTCAGGACATTTACAGCCGACAGTCTCACCTGCTGAGTAGAAACTGGGAGCTATGTGCAGTATGCTGTGTGTTGGGCTCCGGCGGACCCGGGTTAGGACTGGGGTTGGTGTTGTGGTTGGCGCTGGGGTTGGGGTTTGCAGCGGCTGAATTGGTGTTGAGGATTGCATTGGCTCGGCCACCGCCTCGGGTGGCGTTCCGGGCGGTCTCCAGCTGCTGCCGCGCCGCCTGGGCCTGCTGGCGCTCCAGCTGGAGTTGCATCTGAAGCTGCTGGAGCTGTGAGGCCGACGGGCCCGAGCTGAGCTGGCCTCCCGCCGAGCGCCGGACCCCCGACAACTGGGACAGCAGCTCTGGAGGAACCAAACACAGGCTGTTAGAACACGATGACTTGGCCGAGTCAGCAGCGTGTCACTGACCTGCACCGCCATGAAGCCGGAGCATCAGACTCTCAGGCAGCAGCCTCTCAGAAACACAACCTCTATGGTTTAACTAAGGCTCAGAATAAAATGCCCTCCTTAAGAATGTGTTTTGCCAATTCAACAAACAAGCGAACATATAAAATTAATCACACTGTTTGTCCCTGAAGGCTAACGTTTATCACTATGAATCAAAAGGCAGCGATGTTTGGGGCTGGAGCTCAGCCGTTCGGATCAAGGGCTCAGCAGGCAGAGCGGGTCATTAGAGAGGAGGCTGGTGCTGTTTGTGAGCCACACTGAACAGGGACCCTCATTATGGCACAGCTGGAGCTGACATGGCGAATGCCGAGCGCTGAACCACATTAAAATTGGGAACAGGATAAACAAGGAATTGCCACAGCAACAATCTGCCCACACAGCTCCATGTGGGCAACCTTCAGACGCACACTGAAACATGGAGGGAGCGTTTGTCATATCGACGCTACTGCAGGTCATTTAGCAGAAACAGTATCATGACGGCTTCATTAATGTGTCTATCTGTGAGTTAGCGCTGAGCACCAGTGGGTCATACGTCAGACCTCCTGCAGCGTCCACAGGGCGACGCTGAATTAGGAATGATGAAGAGTCCCGTCTCGCTTCTCGTTCTGTAATCATGCGCCTCAGAAGCGGCGACTGTGGACTGACCTGCTATGGGGTCCATGGCCTCTCTGCTGTAGTTGGAGCTCTGTGAGGAACTCTGACTGGTGGAGAGCCCCCCTGTGGTGCTGCTGGTGAAATGCATGTTGGACCTGCGGGCTCGCGGACCCCCTAAGCCGCGACCGGGGTGAAACATCCTCCTCACGTGCCGCACCCCGCTGGACTCGTCGTGACGTCGGCCGTCAAGGAACACATCGACAGCGTATAACAATCATCTTTTTTTGTTGATTTATTTTTATATTAAATATTTTTCTTAAGCATCCTCCCATGTAAGTAGCCAGAATCAGAACATATTTAACAGCCATACACGCTGCCCACCTCAGGCTTCGTGAACCAGCTGCATGTTGCTCTCATGTCACCATAAAGCCGTGCACCAGACAACATGCTGCCTGCAGCTAGAAGCCGTGGGCCCGTTCTGTGGAGCTCTCGAAGCACTTTGTTCCGTCGGCGTTTCATTTACTATATTTTTGCATCTTTTGTTTCCTCCACAGCACTCACTCAGAGTACTCTATAAATAGACCGCCAGACTGCTGCCGTCAGAGTTCATCCCAGCGAGCGGCTCACGGAGTATTTCAGCTGTTTTCTGACAAGGTAACGCACATAATGTAACATCCAGCCTTCAAACTGTTCGATAAGGAGCTAAACGTGACGACTGATTCCTTGCAAATAGTTCCAACAGGCTGGAGTTTCGTTTCATTTCGTGTAGGTTATGTCTGCTTTTTCAGGATTCAACACGTATCTCTGGATTATAATTAAAGCCTCGAGTTCTGCTGAGATTCCAATTAGGTGACAGATAAGACGCTCCTCAGAGAACTTTCCCAACTGGTCTGATTCAAGCTGTGAACGTGTTTGTGACAAAACACTAAAAACTTGTGTTTTGCCTGCAACGCATTGTTATTTTCTGTCGCCCTTTGTGAGCCTCCAGACTCCAGCGACGGGGCACAAATGTGCATCATCTCACCGGAGTGCTCGGGATATGCAATTAGAACAGGTGATGAAAAACACTGCCAGCCTCTGGGGA